GGGATGGAACATCTTCTATGGCGAGGACACTTGGGTGGGTGGCCATGCCCTCCTGCAGAGGATCTTCCCCGCCCAGGGAGGGAACCCACGTCTTTTATGGCTAGGACACTTGGGTGGGTGGCCATGCCCTCCTGCAGGGCACCTTCCCCGCCCAGGGATGGAACACCTTTTATGGTGAGAACACTTGGGTGGGTGGCCATGCCCTCCTGCAGGGGATCTTCCCCGCCCAGGGAGGGAACCCACATCGTCTACGGCGAGGACACTTGGGTGGGTGGCCATGCCCTCCTGCAGGGCACCTTCCCCGCCCAGGGATGGAACATCTTCTATGGCGAGGATACTTGGGTGGGTGGCCATGCCCTCCTGCAGAGGATCTTCCCCACCCAGGGAGGGAACCCACATCTTTTATGGCGAGGACACTTGGGTGGGTGGCCATGCCCTCCTGCAGGGGATCTTCCCCACCCAGGGAGGGAACCCACATCGTCTACGGCGAGGACACTTGGGTGGGTGGCCATGCCCTCCTGCAGGGCACCTTCCCCGCCCAGGGATGGAACATCTTCTATGGCGAGGACACTTGGGTGGGTGGCCATGCCCTCGTCCAGGGGATCTTCCCCACCCAGGGAGGGAACCCACATCTTTTATGGCGAGGACACTTGGGTGGGTGGCCATGCCCTCCTGCAGGGCACCTTCCCCGCCCAGGGATGGAACATCTTCTATGGCGAGGACACTTGGGTGGGTGGCCATGCCCTCCTGCAGGGGATCTTCCCCGCCCAGGGAGGGAACCCACATCGTCTATGGCGAGGACACTTGGGTGGGTGGCCATGCCCTCCTGCAGGGCACCTTCCCCGCCCAGGGATGGAACATCTTCTATGGCGAGGACACTTGGGGGTGGCCATGCCCTCCTGAAGGGGATCTTCCCCGCCCAGGGAGGGAACCCACATCGTCTATGGCGAGGACACTTGGGTGGGTGGCCATGCCCTCCTGCAGGGCACCTTCCCCGCCCAGGGAGGGAACCCACATCGTCTATGGCAAGGACACTTGGGTGGGTGGCCATGCCCTCCTGCAGGGGATCTTCCCCGCCCAGGGAGGGAACCCACATCGTCTATGGCGAGGACACTTGGGTGGGTGGCCATGCCCTCCTGCAGGGCACCTTCCCCGCCCAGGGATGGAACATCTTCTATGGCGAGGACACTTGGGGGTGGCCATGCCCTCCTGAAGGGGATCTTCCCCGCCCAGGGAGGGAACCCACATCTTTTATGGTGAGGACACTTGGGTGGGTGGCCATGCCCTCCTGCAGGGCACCTTCCCCGCCCAGGGAGGGAACCCACATCGTCTATGGCGAGGACACTTGGGTGGGTGGCCATGCCCTCCTGCAGGGCACCTTCCCCGCCCAGGGAGGGAACCCACATCGTCTATGGCGAGGACACTTGGGTGGGTGGCCATGCCCTCCTGCAGGGGATCTTCCCCGCCCAGGGAGGGAACCCACATCGTCTATGGCGAGGACACTTGGGTGGGTGGCCATGCCCTCCTGCAGGGCACCTTCCCCGCCCAGGGAGGGAACCCACATCGTCTATGGCGAGGACACTTGGGTGGGTGGCCATGCCCTCCTGCAGGGGATCTTCCCCGCCCAGGGAGGGAACCCACATCGTCTATGGCGAGGACACTTGGGTGGGTGGCCATGCCCTCCTGCAGGGCACCTTCCCCGCCCAGGGAGGGAACCCACATCGTCTATGGCGAGGACACTTGGGTGGGTGGCCATGCCCTCCTCCAGCGGACCTTCCCCGCCCAGGGAGGGAACCCACACCTTTTCTGTCTCTGGCTTTGGCAGGCGGGCTCTTCACCATTAGTGCCCCCTGGCCTCTGCTTCTAGACTGAGGCCAGTTGGGACTCGCCCTCTGGACACAGCGACATCCCTGCCTAGAGTCCTGGGTCAGGATCCGAGCCAATTCCAGAGCGGAGTGACGCCCAGGCCCAGAGCAGGGACCCAAGCTCGGGCCAGACGTCCTGGGCCCTTGGGGGCACACGTGGGCGCACCCTCGGCAAAGCAACCTGCGAGAGGGCCTGCCTGCCACCAGCCTCTAACCCTCCAAACTGAAGCCACGGGCGTGCATCCAGCCTGGCTTGGCAAGCGTGTCCAGGTTGATTTATGGAAAGTAATTTCCGCACGGGACGAAACACATACGAAGATACTTTATCCCACCTGTCCATGGTTTTAAAGACTTCAATATGTCTCATGGGTGAACCTCCACAGTCTCATGCCCTGAGGTGGGTGGTGGATGTTCCAGTGTCTCCCTGGGGAGGGTTCCCCTCGGTCACTCCTCTCATCTCTGGCGATTGCAGGAGTAACTGGATCAGCCCGGGTACCCTGGGCCTTGCTGGGACTCAGCGCTGCAGCATCTGTGAGGACGGGTGCTGTTTGAATTGCGCTGCAGCTGCGTTGCTGCTGACATCCTGCCCAGGGCTGGAACGTCACCAGCAGGAATAACACAGGTTCTCCTGGAAGGGAACGGGGTGCTGGATGGATTCCGCCTCTCCTTTATTTCTGCTTTATTTGTGGTTTTCTCTAAATTCCCATTTTGTATACTCTACTTTCAAAACACTTTTAAGGGAGGTTTATAAAGGATCGTTTTTGACTTGGAGAGAAAACAAAGAAACCTCCTGTTAAAAAGTGCCAATAAAACAGATGTCTGGCTGAATGCTGAGGATTTTCTGTGGCTAATGGATTTTAACAGCCTAGATGTAGGAAGCATTTTTGACAATTAGGTCTAAACTATTTATACGTGAAAGGCTGCCATGACAACCTGGACGTTTCCCAGAGCTGGTGGGTGAGGGAGGCAGCCGGGCTGATGTGCACGCATTCCCCCTCCCTCCAGGCACACGCGCCCTCCCCGGTGCCAGGGCCCCCAGCTCTGCCTGTCCCCAAGTCGAGCAGCAGTGTCCCGAGGCCCCCAGACAGCGCGTGGGAGGGCTCTGGCCCCCGTCCTGGGGTGGACAGACAAGGCGCCTCCTCCCCTGAGCCCCCGTCCAGGGGTGGACGGACAGGGCGCCCCCGGCCCTGAGCCCCCGTCCAGGGGTGGACGGACAGGGCGCCCCCGGCCCTGAGCCCCCGTCCAGGGGTGGACGGACAGGGCGCCCCCTGCCCTGAGCCCCCGTCCAGGAGTGGACGGACAGGGCGCCCCTCCCCTGAGCCCGAGGTGCTGCAAGAGCCCCCAGGGTGCTGGCGCCTGCACTTCATCTTCACCCTGGGGGCAGGCACAGTCCACCGGAAATCCTGACCCAAAGCCCACAGGGGCCACAAGCCCCAGAGCCGGCCCTGCCACAGGGGCCCCTGAGGCAGCCCCTGCCGACAGGCGTGTCTGGAACTCAGGGGTGCCTGCCCCAGCCCTTGTCCTTGGCACCCAGAGTCGGGGTGGGGCAGCTCCCACCAGCAAGGGGGTCACCAGCCTCCGCCTGGCCCCGGGGTTCCTGGCGCTGGCAGCCCCGAGGCAGGGGCAGCGGGCCTGGAGGGGGCAGGGTCTCCTGTGTCCAGCCCTCCCCCATCACCTCTGCCGAGGTTGCCTTCGTGGTTACCCCAACCAGGTTCCCGCACCTTTCCTGCAAGGCTTTCTCTCAAGAAAGTGAGTTATTTAGTAAACTAGAATTTGTCCATGCTATGTTGAGTTTCATGCCCCCCGGGGGTGAACCCTGAGGTTTCCCTGTAAAACCCACCCTCTGAGCCCGCGGGAAGCACCCATGTGGGTGCAGATGCGGTGCTGACCGCCCTGGTGTGAGCGCCACCGAGGCCTCTGCAGGAGAGCGGCCGGGAGAGCTGCCCCGCGGCCCGGGCCGGGCCTGCCTGTGTCCCGGACCGGCCAAGGTCCTGCCTGCGTGGGGAAACAAGCCGGCTCCGCCGGGATGCAGCGGAGGCCGCCCCCGATCCCCACGGCCCCCCCGCCCTCCTGGCCTTCTTGTCAGGAGATTTAAGGCTGAGACCGTGATGACAGGAGGGCTTGCGACTCAGCTTCGTAGTGCGCATTCGTCGTCCCCGCCGCTGTAACAAGCATCCGGGTCTCCGCACAGCTTACTTCTCACGCACGTCCCGCCCAGGCCATTCGAGGGGCCTCAGCGGTCACTCGGGGGCCAGGCTCCGTCTGTGTATCGGCGCACACGTGTGCCCACGGGCCAGGCCCGCCCTCGGGCACAGCGGACCACGTCACCCCAGGCGGAGCTCGGCCCAGCCCCGCCGCCCCTGCGCGCCCCCGCGCTGCCCCCACCAGCCTCCAGCCTCAGATCCTCTGCAACCTTGTCGTCGTGTTGCTGACACTGACTTTCTGTGTTTAAAGTGATCCGACAGCTTATAAGGAGCAGGGAGCGCATCTGCAGCAGGGGGACTCAGAGCGGCCTGTGCCACCCAGGGGACCTCCCCACTCGGCGGCTCCCCCAGCCTCGCGGGCTCTGTGAGCGCCTCCCTGCCTGCCTCCCCGCCTGCCCCGCCCTCCTCACCCCTCCTCACCCCTCCTCACCCCTCCTCCCCCTCCCCCTCCCCCACCCGCCTCACCCCCCTCCCCCGCCCTCCTCACCCCTCCCCTGCCCTCCTCACCCCTCCCCCAGGCAGAACGCCCTAACGCCGGGACTGGAGCCCGGCAGCCCCGGCTCCCAGCCTGTGAATCAGCCAGAGGAACGCGCGGACTCAGGACCGTGAAGCCTGAGGGAGAGAAGCGAGCGGGGAGATGAAAGGCAGCCCCTGTAGAGACGCTCGGACCAGAACAACACGTTTCTGTGAGAAGGCCTGCTGCCGTCAGACTGTCCGCTTCAGAATCACGCAGGAAACGTCCTTGTGTCTGAAGCACGAGTACTTTGTAAAATCTGGGCTTTTCTGTTTAATGAAAATAATGCATCATCCGGTCATCGGTGCAGCCGCTGCTGAAACGTGACAGCTTTCTATTCTTAGTCGACTCTTGTCACCTGGCCAGTGGCCGCCTGTAACTGTTGAGTCTCACTTGCCCTAGAGCCCTCGAGTGTGGATGGAGACTCCCCGTGTGTCCCACCGTGGCTTCCTCACCCGGGCAGCGCTCACGTGGAGATCAGTGCTCGGTGACGGTGGAGGTCAGGGCCCCAGGACTGCACTTCTGGACGCCCGGCTGCCGGAACCACAAGCTGGCACGTCAGGCTTGGGTATGCCAGCTGCCGTGCCCGGGACCATCTCTTCCCGTGAGGCCGGGGACCGTCTCTTCCCGTGAAGCCGGGGACTGTCTGAGGGGGCATCTCATCACACCTGGAAGGCCACAGATGCCCCGACTATGCATGGAAGGGGCCACGATGGGGCCCAAGAGCCACAAGATCGCTGGCATCTCCCTCTGGGCCTGGACACCTGGACGGCACACGTTGGGACTGCCAGGCTCGTGCGGCCGGGAAATCATCGGGACCCGACAGAGTCACCGTGAACACCTCCACCAGACCTTCTCCGGCTCCGCCCCCAGCCCCCAGCCCCCTCCGTCCACCCCTCCTGCTCAGAGCATGTGCACGAAGCATCCTGAAACATGCTCTGAACTGTAAAACAGTCTCCCTGCCGACTCCAGAGGGAGAAGCCGGAGAGCCTTCCCCTGCCTCACGTGGACACAGCACAGATGGGGGGGGCGGGGCGGGCGGCGTGGTGCAGCCAGCGAGTCTTTCCTCAGGGACCTGGTGGTCAGCGTGCTGGGCACTAGGAGGAGATAAGTCACGGTGACTGTGGGAGGCCCTGGTGCCCCAAACTGGGCCCTGACCCCGGTCACTGTAGGTCCCAGAGAGCGTTGGCTGGTCGGGGCCAAAGCCACCCGCAGACTGGGTCCTGAGTTGCCCACTCTCAGCTCAGCCCTGGGTCCCCTGCCCATCTGATGCCAACTTGTGGACACCTCTTGGTCCCGGAGAACCGTCTCCGTGACGCTCCCTCCGGGGAGGCTCTCATCCCGGGGTGGGCCCAGAGGCCGCCGCCGTCTCCCGGATCAGCCGCCCTGTGCTCCGTGTGCCCTGGCCGCCTTTGGGGGGAGAAGGGGCAGGTGCCTCGTGGCCCCTCTGCAGGGCCCGGAGACCACACCTCTGGCCACATGGATCTTCAAGAACCAGGAGCACGTGTCCACACAGACAGTGTATTAGTCAGCGAGGGAGCTTCTTTGCTGTGTGTTTTTAGCAAAGAGCCCCAAAGAGTGACCCAGGAGCTGGAACCCACTGTCCACACCTCAGGGCTGCCCACGGAGCATCTGGGCAGGGCTGGGCTCGTCCGCACACGCAGATGGCGACAGAAGACCAAGTGGCCATCGAATCTGAATTTCAGATGAACAAGAATCACTTTTTTTAGTTCGTCCATTGTGATATTTGGGACATACTCATACCGAAATAATGTTTATCTGAAATTCAAATTCTACCGGGCATCCTCCTCTTGGTTGCTAAATCTGGCAGTTCTTGGCCACAGTCCCAGGAGGCAGGAGGCAGGTGAAGCCTGGGCAGCTGCCCCGTGTTTGTAGAAACAAAACCAGAGAGCAGAGACTGGGTCGCAGTCTGAGGGCCCAGGACCCTGCTCAGACCAATGCGCGGTCCCAGGTCGGGGCCGGGGGCCGGGTGCTGAGGAGCAGAGGGTCCTCTGTCGGCTCCGACCCAGAGCCGGGACAGAAAACATCATTCCTCCTGCAGTGGTCAGAGGGACAGCGTTGTGGTTCCTCACGAGCTGCTCGGGGGCCACGACCGCAGCAGAGCTTCTGAGAAAGCGTCACCCCTGCACGGTCACCACCGCCCCCCACCCCATCACCCTCACACCATGACCCCTCCGCCCCCCGCACGGTCACCCCCGCCCCCCGCCCCATCACCCCCACACCGTGACCACCCCGCCCCTCGCGCCATCACCCCCGCCCCCTGCACCATGATAGTCAGCAGCTCCAGAAACAGCCTGTGCCCCGTCCACCCGCTCCCCCCAGGACGTTTGCGATAAGACTGTGAGAAGGCCGTTGGGTTGGGACCTGGGCACCCATAACAATCCGTTGTAAAGGCGGTCAGAGCAAGCTGCCGGGGGTGGTCCTTGGCTCTCTGTCCCCCTAAATAGGAGGGCTGGGGAGCTGGACCTATCAGGGAACTGGGGCCCTGCCCGAGGACGTCTCCGCAGGCCGAGCTGCAGCACATCTGACCGTCTTTTGCTTGCATCTCATTCGGGAAGTGTGTGCGACCGTCCTGCATTTCAGGGTTTCACCCACTGCCCCTCCAGGTGACGTGCTGGCCCAGTGCCCCCCACCCCGTCCTGCTTCTCTGGGGGAGGGGGGCCTGGCACTCTCAGCCCCCTGAGGAGGCCCCTCCTAGCTTGCTCTCTGGAACCTGCGTGGTCTGAGAGTTACAGCCTCCCCATCTTTTGAGGACCCCCCCGGTGGGGGAGGCCACCTGCACTGGTGCAGCCTTAGGGTCCCCCCAGGACCTGGCCTGAGAGACCAGAACCAGGGTTGAGTCCATGGGAGAGACTCCAGTCGCCATGCAGGGGCCCCAGGGGGGGCACAGATGGGGCCCTGTGCTGGGTGAGCCCCCCAAGCCCGGCTCCCACATGGTGGGATCCTGTGAGCATCGACCCCAAGGCCTCCGCACACACTAGGGTGCTGCTGGCCTCAGGTCTGGTCTAACGGCAGTGACCGCGAGCACAGAGCTCGTGTCTCCCGGAGGCCTGCGTGTCTGAGCGCTGTAGAGATGGCCTCGCCGGCGGGCTCTCCCCCAGCAAATGCAGTGAAGCCCGCGCGGTTTCCAGGTCTCCCTCCAGGGTCCCTGGTGGGCAGTGAAGGAGCTGACCCGGGTCCCAGGACGTGGTTCCCAGGACCCACCCAGGGAGAGGCGACGCCCCAGGGGACGGGGAGCAGACCCATGAGCCCCCGGGGAGGGGGTGTCCTGTGCAGTGAGGGGTGAAGGGAGGACAGCAAGAGGAGCGGCTGGGAGATGAAGCACCAGCGCTGACCTGCGGGGTCTTCATGGCAGGTTTCAGTTCAGAATCAAGGACACTGCCGAGCCCTGAGGACTGTGAACTCTGGGGGGAAGGGTCCTCCTGGGGGCTTGGGTGGCCAGGTGGAAGCAGGCTTGAGAGCCTGGCCCTGAGGGTGCTAGTCACAGGCCCAGCGCTCAGCCCTGCAGGACGAGGAAGTGCTGCATCCTTACCGGGGTCCTACCTGCCTCATGTGGGTCTCCTGGACGGCGCAGTCACCAGGCAGCAGAGGTGATCCCCAAGGCCCTGCGCAGAGCTGCCAGTTCTGGGCAATCCCCTCCCAGTGCCCGGCACCATCCCAGGGGATGGCAGCCACTTCCATGCCTGAACACCGCTTGGGAGCACCATGCAGGATCCCTCACCTGCCATGACTTCCTGTCGCCCGGTGTGTCCCCCTGACCTGGAGCAGCGCCTCCCAACTGGGTCCCCTCGGAGAGCCAAGCTATGTGCCCAGTGGCCCGCACGGCCCTGCCGCTCCCCTGCATCCACACGCGGTTGACAGACTCAACCGGGTGAGGCCCAGAGTCCCTAGGAGAGCCTGTCTGCTCCAAATGTCAGAGACAAGTGCGCCTTCACAGGGCACGGGATACAGGCACACGTGTGTGCACACCGCCATACATGTGCACACACATGCACACGCACAGATGCCCCCATGAACATGCAGGCACACCTTGGTGCACACGTGCACACATTCACACTCATGTGCATACCCACGTGCACACCATCCCCAGGAGTCCTTGGGACACATTTGCTACCAGCGCCAGCCTTCCTAGTTGAAGACTCTCAGCTGAAACCTCGGTGCAGCTCATCTCAGAGTCTGCTCATCCAGCGGCCAGCACCAGAGGGCAGACAGGCAGGTGAGCAGAGAGGGGACCCCATGTGGGGGTGTCCGGCAGTGTCCTCAGGACTCTCCCGCAGCAGCTCCTGTTTGGGGAGAAAAGAATTTCTTGACCTGGTCAACACTCTTCCCTGCTGCAGCCCAGGCTACTGATCTGATTTTTAATTCCATGGTTTTATCCAGGGTGGGATTTTTTTAATGAAAGGATTTTCTACCCTTAAAAAGTATCATTTTGCTTTTGTAAAGTCTGCAGAGGAGCCCTGTGACTCCTTTTCTGTTCAGTGCTTTTTATTGAGCCATGAGGCTGGAGCTTCGTTCTGACAGTTTAATGTCTAAAGACAGCTGAGGCTGCCCCAGCAAGACGCTCTTTCTGAACAAATGAAAAGATAACATCTTTATAGGTTGAGATAAAAAGTGATGCTGTTTTGAGTCTGAAACGTTTTCTCTTTTCACGTGGTGTAAATGTGCACCATTCCCCAACCCCGATCCTCCCCTGCATAGTCCAGGCTCCAAAGCTCGGGTCTGAATGCGGTCAGGCAGGCAGCCAGCCAGGAGACTCCACTGGCTGAGGAGCTGACTACACATGCTGCCGGGACGGGCGCTGGGCAGGGACAGGCTGCAGTGTGGACCCGGGAGGCTGCAGGAGCTCACCTGCCTCCCGGTGATCCAAGAGGAAGCAGGCCCACCCATGGCTGGCGGAGGGCACGGGCTCGACGCAGGATGCTCAGAGAGCCGGATGGGCCCTCAGACTCAAAGTGAGGACCCCGAGGAGGTGCCCACCGCCCGGGCACAGAGGCCGGGCCACCTCAGCTGAGGCCACAGAGCAGAAGCAGGACTGGAGCTGGGCTCTGTCCCAGGTCAGTCCTGCTTGGCTTGCGACACAGCGGTTCTCTCCCGCCCAAACCATGCCTCAGACCATCCACCCGCATTTAAGTTCTTATCCTCTTCGGATGTGTCCACGTGACAACGCAACCATGAACAGAAACGTTTCCAGAGGAAAACACTGACCTGGATGCCCCCTGGGAGCCAAGGCCCAGCTCTGGTGTGGGCTCTGCAGGGGCAGCCTGGATGGAGGGTGGGGCATCATCCTTCCCTCCACACAGTGGCCGGGGGGTCCACAGGGTCCACTGGCTCTTGAGATCAGCACTGTGAGCATCACCTGAAAAAGGTCCACCTGCTCCAAATCCCTCTCTGCACCAGGAGCTGGTCCTGCCACTTGGACATGCACGGGCGGATGCCCAGCTCACACCTGATTCACATGTGCTGACACCCAGCTCACACCCGCTTCACCTGTGCTGACACCTGGCTGACCTCGGTTCACACCTGGCTCACACCTGGTTCACATGTGCTGACGCCCCCTGACCTCAGTTCACACCTGGCTCACACCCAGTTCACACTTGGCTTATCTTAGCTCATGCCTGGTTCACACCTTATTCATGCTTGGCTCATCTTGGCTCACCCCGGCTCACACCTGGCTCATCTTGGCCCACGCCTGGCTCACGCCTGGCTCCAAGGCAGGAACAGTGCCCTGAGGGAAGGCTCAGGTGCCATCCCCATTAGGCTGCAGGGGCACTCATGGCCCCCACACCAGGCCTGCGTCACCCCGTGCACTAGGAGTGTTTCTCAGTTAACAAGCGTGTTTCTCTGTAGCCCTTCAAAGGTAGTGTCAGTGAGCCTGGAAGCTTCTGGATCGTGCACGCTGAGCAAGGAGAGTGTGGATGGACATTGGTAACTCCTCTCGGAATTCTGGCTCTAAACCCCACAGCTGTGGGTGCAGAGCCGAGAGCAGGGATGGACTCAAACCACTGCTGCGGAAGTGAGTTTTGAATTATCGTCTATTAAATCCAGACACTCAGTTGTCACTTGGGTGACCTTGGGCTTCTGGCAGCTAAAAATATCTGGACTCTGAGCTTGAGAATGATTTCTGTGAACAATCTATTAGGCCGTCAGCTCTGAGTACGGGGTTGGGGAGTTCCTCTCCTCCCAATTCCCACTGGCATCTAATCAAATAATCAGGCATGGTCAGAAGACTAGCCCCCTTCCCCTGAGTCATGGGGACAGCGTCATTTAGGATGAATCTGCTGAAGTTCTGGGCTGCTTGGAAAGAAATTTGCCAAAGGCTGTCACCTCGAGGGCCAAAGGCAGGTCACGTGGACACTTCAGGATGAGTCTCAAAATCCTGCTTCCTTCCCAGGCCAGACAGGTCCCCCATCAGGACTGCGCTCAAGGGCGTCTGACCGTGTGGACCTTGACGGGAGCAGCACCTGGTAACCGGTCCCACCCTCGCCAGGCAGCAGAACTGTGCCCCCCGCCCCTGCTTCCATCAGGGCTTAAGGACAGGCCCTATTAGTATCACTGCGGCACAGGATGGTCAACGCCGCCTTACAGCACAGAAATCACGTTAGCGTGCGTGGTCCCGAGCCAGGCCCCGGCAGCCTGACCCCAGCCAGGCCCCCAGTCCCGCTCTGCCCCCGACTAGACAGGGCCGGGGCATGGCGGGGGGTGGGGGGGGGAGCCTCTGAGTTTCTTGAAGATGCTGTGCTTTCCAGGGCGGCATGGGGCACTTCTCCGAACAAGGTGCTGCACAGCCCCGGCCGTAGGAGGCCCGCCTGGGCCTGGTGAATAATTTAGCTTCCTCAATAAAACATGCGAGTCAGATGGACCCGCAGACCAGCCTTGCTTCTCCTCTGCAGTGAGAATGCAGAGCTGGGCGCCGTGTGGCCACTGCTGGGTCAGGCAATGGACGCGGAGGCAGCTCTCGGTCTGGCACCAGCTTCCCCTCACCTCTGCCCCGCAGGCTGCAGGCAGGCCGGACCCCTGGCCGCTCGCCCGGCCCTGAGCTGGCAGAGAGCCGGCGGAACACGGGGTGGCGCAGGGCCGGGGGTCACTTCTCAGGGACATGCGGGGTCACAGCCGGTCACAGTAAGGGCTCTCATGGGGATATGGGGACCCCCGACCCCCACTCCCCAGTGGGTCGCCCAGAGTCCCTCGCCTCTCGCCTGCGGTTTCCAGCATCCCAGTTCCTATACCAGAGCCCGAGAGCTTCCTCCAAGGCCACTGTCAGACCCGGATGCGGCCGGCCCGCAGATCAGAAGCACCCCCAGGCCCGAGTGCTGGAGTGTCTGTAGGTGGCTGCCATGGAGATGGCATCCTGAGCCCCAGACACAGCCCCAGCGATGGGCAGCCCAGGCCACGCGGGCCCAGGCGGCCAAGTGGTTCCAAAGCCAGCACATCTCCCTGGGGTCCCTGTCCCTCACCCAGCCCCCAGGCTCAGGCGCTGGATGTTCTGGCTGAAATACAACTCTGAAGCCCACCGCCCGAGTGGCAGAGAGGCGCCTGCACGGGAGCCCAGGGGCTGGCCAGGACACGCCTTGGCTTCAACACCAGACGGTTTGTTCCAGATGCTGCAGCTCCTTGTGAAGGCCAAGGACATGCTGTTACCATGCAGCTGTCAACAGGAGAGGCGGGCCTGGCCCTTGTCACGGACCCTGCCTCGGGGCGCTGCGGCCCACGGCGCGCGGAGACCCCTGCGTCCTCTGGCGGCTGAACATCCTGCATCTGGACCACGAGGCCTCGGCCCAGCGAGGCCAGGAAGCTGCTTCTGAGGGCACACCCACCTGCCGGGCTATGGTTGGGGGTCCCAAGGTCCGCCGCCCCGGCAGGTGGATGAAGACAGGGACCCAGCGGGGAGCACGGAGCCAGGAGGAGAGGAGGCTCACGACTGGGGCCCCCCACGCCACTGCCTCCACCGAGCGGCCCCAGCTCCCGGGCGCTGAGACCCGCGGCCTCTGATGACACGGCTCAGATGGGATCCTGTGCGCGCGTCCGGCAGCCTCCCCCTCCTGCGATGAGGTCACTCCCGCACTCGGCTCCTGGGAACTAAGGGCCTTGCCTGGCCTGCCCTCCCCGGGGCAGTTCCAGCAGCAGGAACTTAGGGTCCAGGGCTTAGGCAAGAGACGAGAGCGGGGCTGCGGCCCCCTATCAGCACCTGCAACCCCCCAGTGATGCCCACAGCTCAGCCCCCCAGGCCCGCGCTCTTCACTGCCTGAGATGCCGCCCCAGCCGGGATGGCAGCCCATGTGCCCCCCTCAACCCCGCCTCACAGGTAAAGCAGGAATGGTAACTCAGAAGCTAAGGGTGAGGGACGAGGGGCCAGGAGCCCCAGCGGGTGTGGGCTCAGAGCAAGTGGGAGGCGGGGCTGGTCAAAGGGCGGCCGTCCCAGGCTCTGCACGCTCAGCACTTCTCCTCAGGGCAGTTGGTCTCAGCTTGTGTGTGGGCACGCTCAGTCACTCAGTCGTGTCTGACTCTCTGTGACCCCGTGGACGGTAGCCCGCCAGGCTCCTCTGTCCATGGGCTTCTCCAGGAAAGACACTGGGGGGCATTGCCACTCCCTGCTCCGGGCGGTCTCCTCGACCCAGGGATCCAACCCGGGTCTCCTGCATTGCAGGCAGATTCTTCACCGCTGAACCACAGAGGAAGCACTGGTCTCATCTTGGCTTCTTGTTGAAATCACCGGGGGCTGTGAAAGTTGCTGTTTCCTGCCCCTCGGGCCAGGAAAGCAAGACAGGAGCTCAGCCGGAGTGCAGGGGGTCCCCGTGGCTCCCAGGGTGGGATGGGGATCCTGGGGACCCTAGAAACACCTCTGACGGGAAAGTCACTTTTATCTCACGCGTGGCTCCATCAGGCTCACTTCAACGGGCTTTGGTCAGTTTCAAGTAGAATTGGGAATGTTTTATTACAACACCACAGACATATTAGTCTAAGTATCAAAACTCGTCCCTGTATTTGAGCTATAAATATGTGCAGAGGAGTCCGCACTGACTGATTGGATTTGGGGTAGGTTTTTACTTCCTGGGCTTCCCTGATGGTTCAGCGGGTAAAGAATCTGCCTGCCATGCAGGAGACACAGGAGAGTGGGTTCGATCCCTGAGTCGGGAAGATTCCCCGGAGGAAAGAATAGCAACCCACTCCAGTACTCTTGCCTGGGAAATCCTGTGGAAAACCCATGGACTGAGGAGCCTGGTGGGCTACAGTTCAAAAGATCAGAAAGAGTCAGACCCAACTGAGTGACTGAGCAATGCAGTGTCTTTACTTTCCTGGGGGTTTACTGTGTGGCTTGATTTTTTTTCTTAATAAGGAAATAATCATATTTTACAAAAACACCTAAATCCTTATAGTGAAAAATACTACTGAACAAGATGATCAAGTTAAAGCAGAGCAGATGTCCTGTAGATAAAGCCCTGTGGTCAGGTGAGGGGGGGTGAGGCTGTCCATCCCTGTGGTCAGGTGAGAAGAGGGTGAGGCTGTCCATCCCTGTGGTCAGGTGAGGGGGGGTGAGGCTCTCCATGCCTGTGGTCAGGTGAGGGGGGGTGAGGCTCTCCATGCCTGTGGTCAGGTGAGGGGGGGTGAGGCTGTCCATCCCTGTGGTCAGGTGAGGAGGGGGTGAGGCTGTCCATCCCTGTGGTCAGGTGAGGGGGGGTGAGGCTCTCCATGCCTGTGGTCAGGTGAGGGGGGGTGAGGCTCTCCATCCCTGTGGTCAGGTGAGGAGGGGGGTGAGGCTCTCCATGCCTGTGGTCAGGTGAGGGGGGGTGAGGCTGTCCATCCCTGTGGTCAGGTGAGGGGGAGTGAGGCTGTCCGTGCCTGTAGTCAGGTGAGGGGGGGTGAGGCTGTCCATCCCTGTGGTCAGGTGAGGAGGGGTGAGGCTGTCCATCCCTGTGGTCAGGTGAGGGGGGGTGAGGCTCTCCATGCCTGTGGTCAGGTGAGGAGGGGTGAGGCTGTCCATCCCTGTGGTCAGGTGAGGAGGGGCTGAGGCTGTCTATCCCTGTGGTCAGGTGAGGGGGGGTGAGGCTGTCTATCCCTGTGGTCAGGTGAGGGGGGGTGAGGCTGTCCATCCCTGTGGTCAGGTGAGGGGGGGTGAGGCTGTCCGTGCCTGTGGTCAGGTGAGGAGGGGGTGAGGCTGTCCATCCCTGTGGTCAGGTGAGGAGGGGGTGAGGCTGTCCATCCCTGTGGTCAGGTGAGGGGGAGTGAGGCTGTCCATCCCTGTGGTCAGGTGAGGGGGAGTGAGGCTCTCCATGCCTGTGGTCAGGTGAGGGGGGGTGAGGCTCTCCATGCCTGTGGTCAGGTGAGGAGGGGTGAGGCTGTCCATCCCTGTGGTCAGGTGAGGGGGGGTGAGGCTGTCCGTGCCTGTGGTCAGGTGAGGAGGGGGTGAGGCTGTCCATCCCTGTGGTCAGGTGAGGAGGGGGTGAGGCTGTCCATCCCTGTGGTCAGGTGAGGGGGGGTGAGGCTGTCCGTGCCTGTGGTCAGGTGAGGAGGGGTGAGGCTGTCTATCCCTGTGGTCAGGTGAGGGGGGGTGAGGCTGTCTATCCCTGTGGTCAGGTGAGGGGGGGTGAGGCTGTCCATCCCTGTGGTCAGGTGAGGGGGGGTGAGGCTGTCCGTGCCTGTGGTCAGGTGAGGAGGGGGTGAGGCTGTCCATCCCTGTGGTCAGGTGAGGAGGGGGTGAGGCTGTCCATCCCTGTGGTCAGGTGAGGGGGGGTGAGGCTGTCCATCCCTGTGGTCAGGTGAGGGGGGGTGAGGCTCTCCATGCCTGTGGTCAGGTGAGGGGGGGTGAGGCTGTCCGTGCCTGTGGTCAGGTGAGGGGGGGTGAGGCTGTCCATCCCTGTGGTCAGGTGAGGGGGGGTGAGGCTGTCCGTGCCTGTGGTCAGGTGAGAAGGGGGTGAGGCTCTCCATGCCTGTGGTCAGGTGAGGGGGGGTGAGGCTGTCCATCCCTGTGGTCAGGTGAGGAGGGGGTGAGGCTGTCCATGCCTGTGGTCAGGTGAGAAGAGGGTGAGGCTCTCCATGCCTGTGGTCAGGTGAGGGGGGGTGAGGCTGTCTATCCCTGTGGTCAGGTGAGGGGGGGTGAGGCTCTCCATCCCTGTGGTCAGGTGACGGGGAGTGAGGCTGTCCATCCCTGTGGTCAGGTGACGGGGGTGAGGCTGTCCATCCCTGTGGTCAGGTGACGGGGAGTGAGGCTGTCCATCCCTGTGGTCAGGTGAGGGGGGGTGAGGCTGTCCATCCCTGTGGTCAGGTGAGGGGGGGTGAGGCTGTCCGTGCCTGTGGTCAGGTGAGGAGGGGTGAGGCTGTCCATCCCTGTGGTCAGGTGAGGGGGGGTGAGGCTGTCCATCCCTGTGGTCAGGTGACGGGGGTGAGGCTGTCCATCCCTGTGGTCAGGTGAGGGGGGGTGAGGCTGTCCATCCCTGTGGTCAGGTGAGGGTGGGTGAGGCTGTCCGTGCCTGTGGTCAGGTGAGGGGGGGTGAGGCTCTCCATGCCTGTGGTCAGGTGAGGGGGGGTGAGGCTCTCCATCCCTGTGGTCAGGTGACGGGGAGTGAGGCTGTCCATCCCTGTGGTCAGGTGAGAAGGGGGTGAGGCTGTCCGTGCCTGTGGTCAGGTGAGGGGGGGTGAGGCTGTCCGTGCCTGTGGTCAGGTGAGGGGGGGTGAGGCTGTCCGTGCCTGTGGTCAGGTGAGGGGGGGTGAGGCTGTCCATCCCTGTGGTCAGGTGAGGGGGATGAGGCTGTCCATCCCTGTGGTCAGGTGAGGGGGGGTGAGGCTGTCCATCCCTGTGGTCAGGTGAGGAGGGGGTGAGGCTGTCCATGCCTGTGGTCAGGTGAGAAGAGGGTGAGGCTCTCCATGCCTGTGGTCAGGTGAGGGGGGGTGAGGCTCTCCATCCCTGTGGTCAGGTGAGGGGGGGTGAGGCTGTCCATGCCTGTGGTCAGGTGAGAAGGGGGTGAGGCTCTCCATGCCTGTGGTCAGGTGAGGGGGGGTGAGGCTGTCCGTGCCTGTGGTCAGGTGAGGGGGGGTGAGGCTGTCCGTGCCTGTGGTCAGGTGAGGGGGGGTGAGGCTGTCCATCCCTGTGGTCAGGTGAGGGGGATGAGGCTGTCCATCCCTGTGGTCAGGTGAGGGGGGGTGAGGCTGTCCATCCCTGTGGTCAGGTGAGGAGGGGGTGAGGCTGTCCATGCCTGTGGTCAGGTGAGAAGAGGGTGAGGCTCTCCATGCCTGTGGTCAGGTGAGGGGGGGTGAGGCTCTCCATCCCTGTGGTCAGGTGACGGGGAGTGAGGCTGTCCATCCCTGTGGTCAGGTGACGGGGGTGAGGCTGTCCATCCCTGTGGTCAGGTGACGGGGAGTGAGGCTGTCCATCCCTGTGGTCAGGTGAGGGGGGGTGAGGCTGTCCATCCCTGTGGTCAGGTGAGGGGGGGTGAGGCTGTCCGTGCCTGTGGTCAGGTGAGGAGGGGTGAGGCTGTCCATCCCTGTGGTCAGGTGAGGGGGGGTGAGGCTGTCCATCCCTGTGGTCAGGTGAGGGGGGGTGAGGCTGTCCGTGCCTGTGGTCAGGTGAGGAGGGGTGAGGCTGTCCCTCCCTGTGGTCAGGTGAGGGGGGGTGAGGCTCTCCATCCCTGTGGTCAGGTGAGGGGGGGTGAGGCTGTCCGTGCCTGTGGTCAGGTGAGGGGGGGTGAGGCTGTCCGTGCCTGTGGTCAGGTGAGGGGGGGTGAGGCTCTCCATGCCTGTGGTCAGGTGAGGGGGGGTGAGGCTCTCCATCCCTGTGGTCAGGTGAGGGGGGGTGAGGCTGTCCATCCCTGTGGTCAGGTGAGGGGGATGAGGCTGTCCATCCCTGTGGTCAGGTGAGGAGGGGGTGAGGCTGTCCATCCTTGTGGTCAGGTGGGGATGAGGCTGTCCATCCCTGTGGTCAGGTGAGGAGGGGGTGAGGCTGTCCATCCCTGTGGTCAGGTGGGGATGAGGCTGTCCATCCCTGTGGTCAGGTGAGGGGGGGTGAGGCTATCCATCCCTGTGGTCAGGTGACGGGGAGTGAGGCTGTCCATCCCTGTGGTCAGGTGGGGATGAGGCTGTCCATCCCTGTGGTCAGGTGAGGGGGAGTGAGGCTGTCCATCCCTGTGGTCAGGTGAGGAGGGGGTGAGGCTGTCCATCCCTGTGGTCAGGTGAGGAGGGGCTGAGGCTGTCCATCCCTGTGGTCAGGTGAGGAGGGGGTGAGGCTGTCCATCCCTGTGGTCAGGTGAGGGGGGTGAGGCTGTCCATCCCTGTGGTCAGGTGAGGGGGATGAGGCTGTCCATCCCTGTGGTCAGGTGAGGAGGGGGTGAGGCTGTCCATCCCTGTGGTCAGGTGGGGATGAGGCTGTCCATCCCTGTGGTCAGGTGAGGAGGGGGTGAGGCTGTCCATCCCTCTGGTCAGGTGGGGATGAGGCTGTCCATCCCTGTGGTCAGGTGAGGAGGGGGTGAGGCTGTCCATCCCTGTGGTCAGGTGGGGATGAGGCTGTCCATCCCTGTAGTCAGGTGAGGAGGGGTTGAGGCTGTCCATCCCTGTGGTCAGGTGAGGGGGAGTGAGGCTGTCCGTGCCTGTGGTCAGGTGAGGGGGAGTGAGGCTGTCCATCCCTGTGGTCAGGTGAGGAGGGGTGAGGCTGTCCATGCCTGTGGTCAGGTGAGGGGGGCCCTGGGGCTGTGCCATCCCTGGGGGAGTGGGTGCAGCTGAGGGGTCCTCACCTCATCACCCTGGGCCCTGAGCAGCCCAGCCCCCTTCCTCCCCAAGAGCGAAGGCAACTGCTAACACCTGCCTTCCCCTGCCCAGAGTTTTTTCTTTTTTTCTAAACTCAGATGAGATGCTGATGTTTATAAAAGAGATGCAGAGAGCGTAAACAGCTGTCAACTATTCCTGGCAGCTCAGTGGCAGCCAGTCAATTCTCCCTGAAGTGAACACATTAAGTCAACACACCTTGAAGTTCATGGGGAAGGACACCCAACCAGTGCCCAAGAAGGAGGCTTTACAAATTATTTAGGATGTATATTTTTAACCGACTAAACACAGTTCTGTTTTGTAGAAAGAACTTACCATTTTAAGAAGCACATTAATTATTTTTTAAAAAATGGAGATGAAGTAGGGAAAGTCTTCCACCCCATCTAAGGGGGCTTTAAGATTTAAGGGTTTCAAAAAAAAAAAAAAAGATTTAAGGGTTTCAAATAAAGCTAATGAATCTTTAATAGGTTTAGTTTCAAGTAAATGCAGTTTCAAAGTATTTTAGGAAAACCTTTTATGATAAACTTTCCATTTCTGCCAATGTATAACATTTTAAATTATATTTAGTATAAAATGATGATGTTACATTGTAGAATTTCATCTGCACACCCCAATTCCAAGCTTGAGAAGGTAAGTAGAAAAATTTGGAGTAACTTTAACTAAAAAGGAGCATTTTCTTTTTCCAAGAAATATCTCAAATCCTCAGATTCAAAACGAACTCCAAGTAAACAGCGAGGATGTGATGGATGATCTTATGCCACAAACACTCGCCCAGCCGTTGACGGGAACGGGAGGTCTGCGCTGGTACCTTGGGCAGATTCTCCTGTTTCCTGAGCTGGGGGGCCCTTCCCCAGCTTCCCGTGGTCACAACGACCCAGGAGTGTGGGGTCTGCCCCAGGCCTCCTCCCAGGCTCAGCGTGGTCCTCAGCGGGGTCCAGAGGATGCTGAGTGCTCGGGAGGAGACCTGACAGACTCCAGAATGCTCAGCACATGGAAAGCTTGGTGATGCATCATGGGCAGCCCCATGCCAGGGGCACCGCCTGCAGGGGCTCTGGCCGAGGAGGAATCTGGGGAGGGGGTGCTGCTCCCCCTCCAGGCCCCCAGCCCCCCCCCCGCCGAGCCCAGGGCAGCCAACACTCACCCACAGGCCATGACAGGACTGGACCCCAGGCAGGGCGGGGCAGGGCTGCTCCGAGGCGGCCTGCTGTCCTGGCCCCCATTTCCTCAAAAGGTTATGTTCCTCCCTCCAGGGGAAATCTGCAGGAGCAGCGAGTCCTGGGTCGGGAGAGTGTCTGCGCAGGACAGAGATGCCCTCGGCAGGCAGGGCACTGTGGGTCCAGGCCGGGCTGGGTGCAGCAGGGCGGGGGGACGGTGGGACCCCCGGGATGGGGTGCTGGGTTGGGCCCATGAGTGGAGGCCCTGTCTGGCCACTCTGCCCTGATGCCCAGAAAGTCCTGTCCCTGAAAGCAAGCCCAAGGGGGAGGGGCCGGGCATCCACCCAGCAGGGTTTTATCTGAAACAACCATCCTGATCCTTGATTTCCAGGGTCATTAGGAATTCTGTGCACACAACTCAAGTCCTGAATAATGAATCAAACGTCCTGGTGTGATTGATTTTTTAAATGGGTCATTTGCATATTGTGATTAATCAGCCACCCCTGGGGTTGGAGCTGGAGGGGGGGTCCGGGTGTGGGGCTGTGTCCCCTCCCAGCCCAGGGCTCTCAGGAGGCAAACCCACCCCCCATGCATCAACCCCACTGGCGCGGCTGCTGGCCTGAGGCTTAGGGACAGAGTGGACGCACGTGGAAGGCAGGACCCCACAGCACCATGAGTCCTTGGACGTGGTGAGGGGAGAGGTTGGGGCAGGCCAAGCCACCCTGGATCTGTGGGGAGTGGCCGGACATCCCCTGCCCAGGGATGGGGACTTCACAGGCCTCGGGCCACATCCAGGGAGCACCGCCAGTAGACGAAACCTCTGACCATCCTCTGCCTCCCGTCTCTCCAGCCCAACACGCCCACGCCTCTCGGGAGAAAGCTGCCTTGATGACCCCAGTGGCTCACAGGGATCCCGCTGCCGACCTTAACTGGGCAGAGAGCTCCAGGTTTGGGGACCAGATTCTCTTTCCGCCCACAGCCTGGCGCGGCCTCCAGCTGCTACCCAGGCATCTCTGGAGGACTCGGGACCCAGAGACACAGGCCTGCTCGAGCTGACTCTGGAAAGGTGGCAGCTGGCAGTCCCCCCTCTGGGGCAGAGGCAGCCTGGGGGTCATGTCCAGCTTCGAGCGCTGACCCTGGGTGGCTGACTCTGTGGACACAGGACTGAGGCCACCCCTGGGGATGGGAGGAGTGAGGCGCCAGCCCTGCTGTGCAGAGAGCCAGCTCAGGATGGCCCCGGCCCAGACAGCGCGTGTCAGAGCAGGTGCGGGGGCCCAGGCTGGGTTTCAAGACCATCATTCAAGGCACAGCCCCCTGCGGGCCTGCGATGGAGCTTAGAAGGTGGGGGCGTTTAAGCACGTCCACTGAAGGGTTTGCCTTCACCTTCCCCGCAGCAGGGCATGCCTGTGGTCTTGGGATGTGTCCTCCGGGGAAACCTGAGTCAAGGTCCTCAGACTTCCATGCGGGCCCTGGGCAGGATCCGGGCGGCTGGGGTCAGGGACTCAGGGTGTGAAGACAGCGGTGGTGGCCGCAGGAGTCTGAGTGGACAGATCCAGGATGGTGGGACAGAACATCGCCCCACGGCCCTGGCTGGTCAGCCGTCCTGGCCCAGCACGCCTGGCTGGTCAACTCGGCCCGGGGCAGGGTGCGTGTCAGATGCGTAGCCACAGGGCCTTCCCGCCTGGGTAAGTGCAGGGTGCTCCCCTCTGTGGCGTCTCAGTGCTCCCCGGGCAGTCTGCAGAGACGGGGCCAGAGCAGCGGTCCTGGGCTAGGCTCCAGTCTCCGCTGGGGCACCGTGCCTGGGGTGGGCATGGGCAGCAGGTGCTGAGGGAAGGTGGGGAGTCGCAGGGCAGGCAGCAGAGCAGGGCGGAGGAGCAAAGTGAATGCTGCAGGTTCCTGGGAGCACAGCCTCCTCTCCCGGGCGCGTCACTGACACTAAGCTTCTTGGCTGAGCCGGCTCACTCCTCAGGAGGCCTCGGGACGGGGGCTCTGCCCATCCGGGCCGCAGCAGGGGGCCTGACGCTGCACGGGGCCCGTTCCCCGCTGCTGCTGCTCAGGCCCCGAGTGCCTCTCGGGGAGGGGGAGCTGCAGCGTCCCCCACCACGCGGTCAGCAGGAGCCCTGGGCACCAAAGTGACGCTTCCATCTGGACTCTGCCAGGGAGCCCCAAAGTGCAGGTGAGTGGTGAGGGCCCGGACGCTGCCCCCTCCCTGTGGGCGGGTCAGGGAGGGCTCAGGCTCGCAGACAGCGGGTGGTGTGTGTGGGGACACCAGGCGTGGGGGCTCTGCTGGGGGTCGTGCGGCCCTTGGAGAGGCCTTGGGGCCATCGGGCTCCGCGGGTGACCCGCGGTGGGAGGAGGCTTCCTTCCCTCACAAAGGTTCGCTGAGGGTCTGCAGGCCGGGCCCAGGCCTGCCGTCAAGGTCTCTGGCTGGAGGGGAGCGAGATGATGAAGCCCCTGGCTAAGGGGTGGGCAGGGCTGGGGTATGTGCGGAGAGCAGAGGGTCCGCAGGGGTGCTACAGAGACGCCCAGGGAGCCCCTGAGACGGAGGGTTCCTGGAGAAGGTGGAGCACCCCAGGCGGCCGGTCCCAAGGGTCCTCCCCCCAGGATCCTTCCCCAGGCTCCCCTCCCCCAGACTCCCCTCCCCCACTCTGCCCTCCCCCGCCCGCCCTCCCCCCCACTGCCCTGTCTTCCTGGGTCTCAGGCAGCAGTACCACCCCCTCCCCACGTTGCTGCACCTCCAACCACTGCTGCGTGAGGGCCCCCACCCCGCTGGCCACAGCCTCAGGGACCGCCGCGTAGCAGACTCGTCCATCGGGCAGGGTCACCTGGACCAGACGGGGCCGGGTGAGCTCAGAGGTGCGGCCGCAGGCCTCTCACGGGCTCAGCCCGTGGTCCCCACGGTAACCAGATCAGGGCCCCAGCCGTGACCCCAGCCCAGCGCCATCCAGGGCACAGGTCCGATGGGGGTCTGCTCCCTGGTGGTCAGCGTGTCTTCCCCCAGAACCCCCACAAGCCCAGGGCTCGTGCAGGGCTAGATCCAAACTGACAAAATGATCACACTCTCGGGGTGGAGAGCGGAGGGCGCTTCGTCCACCCGCACATCCACCAGTGCCTGGCAGGTGGCCCCGCGCGTCTGGACGCGGGACCGTCTTGTCTGGTGCTGTGGTTCACGGGCTCGTCTATCTTCTGAGCCCCGCCCGATGGCCTACGTGGGGTCCCTCTGCATCGCTCAGGGAGAGAAACCTCGCTCCGGCTTTCCTGCTCCGGCTTTCCTGCTCCGAGCTGCTGAGGAGGCGTCTCCACCACACTGAGCGGCTCCCACAGCAGGTCCCCAGGGAGGATCACCCCTTTGACGGCCCAGAGTCGGGGTCACCATTCCTGAGCAGAAGAGATTCGCTCTTCTCTGATGAGTGAAAACATGTCAACATGTTTTCCCCAAACTGGGGGCCTTGCGGGTGTCAAGACGACAGGACTACAGGACTCAGAGCCCCGGGGCCACAGCTGGTCCCCGACCCACTCCTTCCTGCCGCCTGGCGTGCTGAGTCAGAGGGTGTCAGGCGGGTAGGGAATGTGGACACAGTACACGGACCGGGTCCCCTGCGCTGTCCACCATGCCCGTACACAGTCCTGGGCCCGTGGGTGTGCACTCACCAGGCTGCATGGACTGCACCACGACCCCTGGGCCGGCACACCTGACCCCGCTCACGGCTCTGTGCTCGGCGGTCCTGGGCCCGGCGAAAGGAAATGCTCCCTTACCCAGTACTATGGGGCATCCTGCCAGGCCAGGAGACGCCACAGGACTGCTGTAGGCAGTGAAGTGAATCTGCTCTGAAACCGAAGTGAATTAAACCTGCGCGGCTACAAAGACCCCACTGTGGCCCCAGCCACATGCGCGGTGCTGGACGCCCCCCACCACCACCTCACCAGCTGGGCTCACTGACCGCGTCACAGATGTATTCACGTCACACAGACAAATTTAGTCCTTTTTTTCCCCTTGGTTTTGCTTTTCTGATGAGAAGAGAGCCTCTTCAAATGAAAATGGTCTTAGCAAATTGAGTCCAAATCAAGGAAGAAAACTTGAAATTAGTTTTCCTTATGCCGTCTCAGTGTTACTGTTCGATGCCCAGACTAATGGGATTGCAGCCGTGTTCTCAGGACTCTGACCGGTGCTCCTGGCAGGAGGTGGGTCGGCCGGCTCGGGGAGTGAAGTGGGACCTGGTCGGGCTCTCGGCGGGGGCCGGCGGTCTACGGGCAGACACTCAGGGCTGGCTTTCTCCGGGGGAGGTCACTCCAGAGAGTAACCCAGGCCCTCGGGTCAGAGCGGGGCCGTGCTTGGGGAATAGCAGCTCACCCTCGGAAGTCTCCTTCCAAGTGCACCCTCCAGGCGTGCCCTCCAGGCGTGTCCTCCACGCTGTCCTCCAGGCTCGCCCTCCAGGTATCTCCCTCCAGGTGTTCCCCTAGGAGACCACCTGGAAACCCTGTCCATGGGCGCTCCCCCACCAAGGACGCCACAATAGAAAGGCAACATTCCCACTTCTCCCAGGGTCCTTGGCCATGGAGCCGCATGCAGAAGCAGGTGGAGGACAAGATGGGGCTTGCAGGGTGCAGCCCTCTCTTGGAGTAGCGGGTGGACAGGATGAGCCCCCAGGCAGCGTAACTCTGGCCTCGGGGCGCGCGGCTCCTCCAGGCCCTCAGAGGCTGGGCCTGTGGACAGCCCTCGGCTCAGCCTCATCACACTGCCCAGGGCCAGGCCGGGTGACTGCACGTGAGAAGCAGAAAGCACACCCCTGACCAGGTGCCTAAATTCCCGCCAGCCGGGACCGTGGCCTGTGGGTGGAGGAGAGTAACCGGCATCCCTCCTAAATCTGGTCTGAGTCCCTGGAGAACAAGCGTTGGTAAGGACGGAGCCCAGGGTGGGGAGGGTGCACTCGCCCTAGTTTCCCTCAGGGCACCCTCCCCCCGCAAGAGGCCGGAGCCCGGAAGGCCTGGCCCCACCGGGGACAGCACGGAGCCGGCACCACTGCGGGGCTGGACTGTGGGCCCGGAGGCGTCCACTGCCCACAGCCCTGCGATGCCCTCGGGCGACACCACCAGATCAGCGGTCACCTCCCGGTGCTCTCACAGGCTGGACAGCAGCGTGGCCATGTCTGCAGCCCCAGCACCGGGGTCAATGGTTGCCTCTGCTTGACATTTGCAAGAGGAGCCTCCAGGCTGCCGGGACTCAGCCCCCTCCAGCCTCAGGGCCAGGGCGGTGGCGCCAGCCCCCAACTCCTGCTGTCCAGGTGAATGCTCTCAGAAGAGCCCAGGGGCAGTCCAGGCCCACCCTCCGTCCTTTGCACACTTCGCAGTTGGGCTCAGGGCCGGGTCGGGGCGGAGCCTCTGCCTGGTCGTTGGGTGCCGGGCGTGGGGGACGCTGACAGCTTTCTGCCTGCCCAGGTCACACAAGGGTCACCTGAGACCTCGCAGGGAGGGGCTGGCACCACAGGAGGACAAGGCCCACATGGGCCCCCTTAGCTCAGGGCCACCCCCTCACCCCTGAGGACCACGCTGCTGGGGGCTGGGAGAGCCCCGCCCACAACTCACAGCCCTGCTGGGGGGCTCACCAGTCTCACTCCTAGCCCCCATGTCTGGCTGAAAGGCAGAAGGAGTGGGACAAGGGCTGTGGGTGGGGGAGCATCAGCAAGTTCAGTTCAGTCGCTCAGTCGTGTCTGACTCTTTGCGACCCCATGGACTGCAGCACACCAGGCCTCCCTGTCCATCGCCAACTCCTGGAGTTCACTCAAACTCATGTCCATCGAGTTGGTGATGCCATCCAACCATCTCATCCTCTGTCGTCCCCTTCTCCTCCTGCCTTCAATCCTTCCCAGCATCAGGGTCTTTTCCAATGAGTCAGTTCTTTGCACCAGGTGGCCAAAGTATTGGAGTTTCACCTCAGCATCAGTGAATATTCAGGACTGATCTCCTTCAGGATGGACTGGTTGGATCTCCTTGCAGTCCAAGGGACTCTCAAGAGTCTTCTCCAACACCACAGTTCAAAAGCATCAATTTTTTGGTGCTCAGCTTTCTTCACAGTCCAACTGTCAACATCCATACATGACTATTGGAAAAAGAATAGCTTTGACTAGATGGACCTTTGTCACCAAAGTAATGTCTCTGCTTTTTAATATGCTGTCTAGGTTGGTCATCAGCAAGGGGTTTGGTGCAAAGCCTGCCCCTGCCCATAGCAGGGGTCCTCCTGGGGAGAGGGTTCAGGCGACTGTGGGCTCACTGTAGGGAGTGTTTTCACCCCCACATTCCCAGCCCAGCCCCACATGCACAGCATCACATGATTGGCACCCCAAAGCCAGCTGGGTCCCCCAGCTGCCCGTCTGGAAGCCCTGACCACTGCTGCTCGGGCGTGGAGCAGTGCCAGTGTCCTGACGCCCGGAGTTCTCGGGAGGCCTGGTTGGTTTCTCGCCGTTCCGTGTTTGTGGGTCCCTGGGCCGCCCTGGCCTGGGCTCTGCGGCCCCGTGTGTCCCTGGGTCCCTGGGCCACCCTTTCCCGTGTTCCGTGGCTCCGCGGCTCCGTGGGTCCCTGGGTACCTGGGCCACCCTTTCCCGGGCTCCGTGGCTCTGTGGGTCCCTGGGTCCCTGGGCCACCCTTTCCCGGGCTCCGTGGCTCTGTGGGTCCCTGGGTCCTTGGGCTGCCCTTTCCCGGGCTCCGTGGCTCCGCGGCTCCGTGGGTCCCTGGGTCACCCTTTCCTGGGCTCCGCGGCCCTGTGGGTCCCTGGGTCCCTGGGTCCCTGGGCCGCCCTTTCCTAGGCTCCGCAGCTCCGCGCGTCCCTGGGTCCTTAGGCCACCCTTTCCTGGGTCCGCAGCCCCGTGGCTGAGGTGAGAGTGGCCGGGCCCCGCAATGGAGCACTCATGCTCCCTCTCGGAGCACCAAAGCCAGCCCCCTCCCGTGTCACTGGAGGTCATGCGGTGCGTTCTGTCATCACCTGGCCCTGGTGGGCACAGAGGCAGGACCAGAGGCAGAGTCTCCTACGAGGAGGTGGGTTATCATGGAGACTGTGGCCTGGCTTACCCGGCTCTGCCTGAGTGCTGACTGCAGCCCTGAGGGCAGGGAGAGGTGTATCTCCATTCAAATGCAGATTTGGGGGAGGGGAGCCAAGTTATTTTCCTCTTAAGATATTGCCAGTGTCCGTGAGTACACTGAACAATAGCAGGATTATTCCCAGTTACTTGAAAATCACTGTCTGCACCGGGTTTCCGCCGAGAGCTGAGGAGCACTCCGCCCGCCCAGAAGCGGGACGCTGGACTCGTGGCTGAAGTGGAGCAAGGCCCCCGAGTCTGCCTGATGCTCCTGTGACAAACGGCTGCTCCCACCCCGAAGCAGCACGCCGCGAGGGCCCACGGCGGGACATGCGGCCTGCGTCTGCAGGGCGTGGACACGGCAGGCAGCCAGTCCTGGAGACGCTGGGCTGAGGCTCCCAGCTGAGCTGGGCGCCCCTGCCCCTGCCCACTGTGGGCCCTGGGCGCCGGCCTGGGCCCAGGCACTGGTGACTTTTGGCTCACGGACGGAGGGCAGCTCGGGGCTACAGCCCCTGCACCTGGCCTCACCGCAGACTGGGCCTCCACTCCCGCCTGTGGCCTGGCTTCCACGAGCTCCTGCAGGCCATAGGCCACGGGGCTCCCGCGGACCAGCCCTCAGTCAGGCCCAGGCTCCACGCCCAGGAGGAGCCGGGCTTCCTGCCTCCGAAAGGAGCGCACGTCCACAGATGGAAGGCCTGTGGCCTGCAGTGGCTGGCTGGGCTCTCTGGGCGACCATCTCTGCTGGGCTTCTTGGG